CCGGTGGACTGTGCTTTGAGCGTAAAGGATGCCAAGACTGACCAGCCATTCGATGGCAGGCCGTCGGGTCTCGGCGGCCACCAGAGATCGATGCCCAACGCATCATGGAGCGTCGTAGCGATCGGCGCCGAGGAGGTGACGTGTCTGCGGTTGAACCACTGCAATTGCACGCCATGAATGATGTGAGATGGGGTGGGCGGTGGAGCTGTCGAAATTTATCTCTGCATCAGAACAAACTTGTAAGCACAACAGCACGGCACGCAAAACACTCACGGAAGTTGTAGATGGGCACGCCAGGATGATAAGTGAGCTCCGTCTCTTTACCGCCCTCGCTGGAGTCTAGTAACCTTCGCACCGCCGCGAATGGATCCGTCTTGTACTGCGGTGTCAGATTTGCGCTCCCACCCCCGCTCTGTATCGCTTCCTTGACAGGATGACCAATCAAAGCGATGCGTTTGGGTGGACTCGCAAGGCTGAGAGGAAGAAGCTCGTCGTCGTTCTTGAGCAGCACAGCACCCTCTCGAGCGATCTGTCTGATTGACTCCGCAATGGTCTTGTCTTGCGCCGAGTGCTCTTCCTCATCCTCGGGCCTTTCGCAGAAGCCGAGTGGCGAAACGGATTTGAGCAGGCGAAGAATGGGCAGTACCCTGGCATCTATGTCTTGCTGCGTCACCTCGCTCGATTGGAGCAACCGCTTCACATCGTCTGATTTTCTGAATTGAGACGGCCCAGGCATCTCAATGTCGGTCGTCTGAAGCGCGTGGGCATGCAGAGCGAACCAGTCCGACATGATCATTCCTTTCCAGCCCCACTCCTTCCGCAAGATCTGCTGCAGTGTGACTCTGTGCTCGCTGGCGCTGACGAGGTTGAGACGATTGTATGCTGTCATGATACATGCCGGCTGACCACCGAAGGGATCCGCAGCGATGTTCCCTCGGCGCTTGGCAGCTCTAGCAACATCCCTCATGATTCGTTGAAAAGGTGCCAGGTAAACCTCTCTCAGCGTCGAGTCATCAATCATCGAGCTATTGTTCCTTCGATCCGTCTCCGCTTCATTTCCCACAAAGTGCTTTGGCGTAGCAGCGACGCCTTCTTGCTGGCATCCGACAATCCAAGCCGCTCCGATGGAACCAGCGAGCGTGGGAGATTCCGAGTAGCTTTCAAATGATCTTCCGCCTCTTGGATCTCTGTGCATTCCTCCGACCGTCGGAGCGAGGGAAACGTGGCACTGTTTGGATCTCGAATCAAGCGCGATTCCTCTGCCCATCGCCTCTGCAAGTTGCACATCGAACGTCGCGCCCAGACAGGATGGCGATGGGAACAAGGCAGCAGGCACAGAATTGTTGAAATCTCCACCTCCGCGAGCTCCATTGGGGCCGTCCGTCATCTGCGGGTCAGTCAGTCAGTCAGACAGTCATGGTCAGTGACGAGCGTCAGCTGGCATCTCTGTTCCGCCAAGGCGCGGTACAGCCTACCTTCAAATAGGGCAGCCCCACTCTCGGCACAGGCGTGGTGCGCCATAGATCCGCCCCAGCAAGCAGAGAGATCTTCTCTTCCAAATTCAGCTGGCCCAGCATCCGCTCCGGATCAACATGCACCTTTTTGCCAAAAGCTTGCGGAGTCATTCTCTTGTTGATCGATCGAGATTTGCCCCGTCCAAAAGACGACCGACAAGTCGGATTGCTTTACACGATCGCACGTGGTGGTAGGAGATGATATGAAATGTATCAGGACGGGGACAGAGCTTTCGATTCACAATCAAGCGGCTGCTCAGCGCTGCCAAGCGCGTTCGTTGCTCAAGGCTAGCGGCCCAAGTCCGGGGTAGGTGGAC